TAATAAAACTCACATGTCTTTTAAATTTTCCTCCAGATAATTCTGGCTTTTAATATACTGCATGGCTGGAAAAAAAAAAAAAAAAGATTAATTTGTGCAAGAGGAAATTTTCCAAATTGAAATCCTCCTTTACAATTCCGAAATCTATATTTATTTACTCATTAATTTCCAGATCTATTTTTGTTTACTATCATAAATTAGAACAAATTACCAGAATATATCTTCACTTTTATTTAAACTGTATTATGTAATGACTTATTTCTATTCAACTATATTGCATAGTCAAAATCTATCATTGGCCTACAAATAAGTTGCAAGTATTTGTGCTGACATTTCTGAATTAATTAAACTTGGTTATTTCACTCTTCACATTAGAAGTTAGTAACACACCCAAAGAATATTAAGAAAATTAAAGTTTAGCATTAGGAACAAAAGTATAAACATTAACAATTTGACAGGCTTAATTTGGCAAAGACAACATCTCTACATCTTGGATTTGCTCGTCATCTTCATCTTCTTCATCACCCCCACTCAAAACATACACATGTTCTCCACTGAAAACAATGTCTTCCCTCCTATGTTAATAGCTTCTAAAGAGCTTGGCAGCTATCTATTAAAGAAAGAAACCATTATTGTTCGCTATGTTAACACAGGGAACGGCTACTCAGCTATTCTGAGTTCAACTTCTAGCTCTGATACTTAATATGACCCTGGGAAAATAATAAGGTCTTTTGAGTTTCTATTTCTCTATTATAAAATATAAATAAATTCTACTACATTGGGTGGTTGTTAGGATTAAATGAAAGCACATGTGTGAAGCAGTGAGCACAGGGCCTGGCACATGATAGGTACTGAATAATGTTGCTCATAATACTGTTCCTGGCCCTATAAACAGTGTTCCTCTATCTAAAATCACTTATCTAATTTCAAATACAAGTTTGAAATGGATCATCCTCTCACCTAGAATGGAAGAAATGAGATCTTCCTGTGTGTGTTGCCCCAATATATTAGCTCTCTTTCCGTATCCATTCCACAACTTAATTTCTAGCAATTTTCAATGACTCTATTGACAGTGATGACCACTGAGAAAGATATGCCTTTCCGTATAAATTTTAATAGTCATTATACCTTATCTCTTGGTACATGAGATGTATAGAGTGTAAATAGAATTCCCTACCTGCATCTAGTAAACTTCTCTGAAGAGTTTGACATTTAATGTAGCTGAAGAAAACAAGAAAAGATATGAATTTAACAGTCTTCATTATTTCAGATGAACCTTTATTGAAGGTATTCCATCATTTGAGAGAATTGAAGAATCCTTTTATATTCTTTTGGAGTAATTGCTATTAATAATTAACCTTTCTCTGGCAAATATTTTTTGCAGGCCATGACATCCTTGATAAAATTGAAGAAATTCATGGCAATGAAAAGATATTGTTGATAGACAGCATTCATTAATGAATACTGGATTTTAAAATGAGTCATGTCAATCCACTTGGTTTTTTTTCAAGATTACATCATGTAGGCTTTGTAATGATCAATAAACACTTTTGGTAAATATCTCATTTCCTGGAAACGCCTGTTGACATGTACAAAGTTCTAAAGTGGCAGGGGAGAGAGTAAACATGTACTACCCCAGATTCAAATAAATGATTAGGGCCTCAGTTCCAGTGCTGGGGACATTTTCAAGCCGCTGGAGAGAGTGGGAAGCACAGGCCTTGGGATCAAACCCAAGGGAATGGGATTGAATTTATTGAGTGCTTACTGTGGGTCTGGAACTTTATATGACTATATTTAGGTAGAAAAATTCTTATTTCTTGAATAAGAAATTAAGACTTAGGGTCGTATAATTTGCTCATGGACTCACAGGTAGAAATTCAAGTCTGTCTGACTTCTGAGCCCGCATCACCCAAGAACTAGTATTAAAAGCTAAGGTCCCAACCTTCTTCAGCTGTAGTCTACTTTGCCTATCATCCAGTTCCTGGGTCTAAGGCAGGAAACAAGCAATTACTGATTAAATAAAAAGTCTAAGATACATGTAAAGTCCAAAATTTGGGGAAATGGGAGATCACTGGTTTCTACTTTAACCATTCTTGTCCTCAGTTTCCTCATTTATAAATGGAGGGTTTAGACCAGATAATCCCTAAAGCTGACAGTCCATTACTTAATTCTGCTACATGCAAAGTCTCATTTCTGGTTTCCTATGCAAAGAAATATCACAAGTAAGAGAGAGATGTTTGCCTGAAAAAGAACAAACACGTCTGTTATTATTTAGATTTGGGACGCATTGGCTTATGGTGAAGAATATAAATGGCCCTGTGTGACAGAAAGCCAGGATCAACAAAGGGAAGATTATCCTTGGTAGGTTTTCATCATCCTTTTCAGGGTCCTTCAAACAGTCCAAAAGCTCAGCATCTCTTCTGTCACGCATCCTCAGAGCTGTCCCCTTAAGATCTCACTCTAAGCATCCTAGAGCTATCAGAAATGGACTTAGCTCTCTAGGGATAGCAAATGGTTTGGATGAGTGCTGCCAGACTATCCCCCATTCCCAACATTACTAATTATCACTGCACTCTTTGTCTCTGAACCTAGGCTCAGCCTTGGAATCATTCGCAGCACAACGCCACAGGACAGCCACTATCAATTGATTGGAGTTGGCCCTTAAGGAAAAAAAAACTATTATATGTGTGCTAAGCTAAGTTCTCTTTAAAAAAACAGCCAAAATTAACTTTCCGTGGGAACCCTCCTCTCAGGGTAAGAGATTCTTGAAAACATAAAAAGATATTGTCTCCTATTAGGGATCAATGGGGAAATTTCAGACCATAGGAAAGACAAGTAGTGAGGATTATTTAAGCAAAGGCAAGGGAATAGGTTTTGTGATAGGATTCAAAAGACAACACAGAATTTGTTCTCTAAGATAGTAAGCTCTTCCAGCTGACCTTTAAGATAAAAAATGGGAGGTATACAAGTACAAGACACAACGATGATTTTTAATAAATATTATTTTCACAGAAAACCTAATTCTTGTCCAAGTCATAGAAATAGAGTTCAAAGAAACCTTAGAAAGACCAGGACTGCATCCCTGGATCCCACCAAAAACCTGGGTGGTGACAGTGCATGCACATGCAATTTTGGCACTCATTATTTGCACCCTGAGGCTTATCACTTTTACAAATATCTCTAATACTAGAAAATTCTTCCTGCATGGCGTCCAAGGAGTTCTATTCTATTCATTGGTATGAGTTCTGTTTGAGCAATACAGAGTAAGTGTACTTGCCCTTGTTGCAAATCTTCTCTTCTCTGGGCAAAATGTCTTTGAATAAACCATTCCTTACCCTCTTTTCCTCACATTGCACTGGTTACCTGCTTTTGTTAGTGCATTCTCTGGCACGTCAGTGGAGAGAAAGTTGCATGGCAGTTCCTCTGTGATAATAGAGTCTTGCTGATGGCAGCAGGTTCCTGGGTCTCTGGTTTCGTATCTGCTGCTCTTGGCACAGTATTGGACACATAATAGAATCCACTATTAGGCACAAAATTGAATTAGCTCTCTGTGCTCTGTTTCACTTCTGTTTGCTAAATCTGTTATCTATTATTTAAGTAAAACTTTCTTCTTTGTTATCCTCATTAGTAAATGAGAATATTTGGAGAAATGGTAAAAGGACAAAATAGCTTCATGAATTAAATACCTATTACCTGCTGGCCATTGTAGTGGGTACTTTATATAGTAATTTAACACATTTCTCTAAAGCCTTTTTGATGTGGAGATTATTATCCCATCCTACACAAAGAAATGGAGGTTGTAGATTGTAGCGAAACTGAGGCCATACAACAAGTTAGCGGCTGTAGGATTTGGAAGTCCCCCACCCTCTTCTCACCCTGCATCTTCAGCTTAGATTGAGTACCTGTGCAATACACACCCACAGCAGGGGCCTTTTACCATCCCTGCACCTGTGACGTCGTATGTGATTGCTTGCTTACTGTCCTTCTGCCCTGCCCAGCGAGACACAAGAGGCATGTCGAATCTGGCTCACAATTGTAACCACAATGTCTGACACACAGTAGGAGTCTAATAAATATTTGTGGAATAAATGAATGAGAATCTCAAAGACTATGTTCTAAATGCTATACCAAAAAGACTCTTGGAAAATTCTCACTTATTACCTACTAAATAGTCATCATCTTCAATTTCAGCCCTTGAAACACTAAAAAGCTTAAATGTTTAGAGAACAGTCAGGATAATCAGGCCATGAGCCCATGACTAACCTTCATTTCCTGGCTTCCCAGTACCTACCACTCTCCTCTCCTTAGACGTCATAGCCAAGCACTTACAGCTCCAACATAACAGCAGTTTTGGTGCAGAATGGAGGGAGAAAAGTGCCACTGTCACTGACGCCTTGGGCACTGCTCCCTTTCTCTGAATAAGGCATACAACATGGCCATACCTAGGAGGCAGGGTGTACAGTAGCTAAAGATATTGTTCTGGAATTAGAGGACTCACATTCAAACTTTGGTTCTGTCAGTTACTAGTCATGTGACAGTGAACAGATTAGCTTACCTCCCCAAGCCTCAGGTTCCCCGTTTGTAAAATGGGGTTAAAAATGACGCCTACTTCAAAGAGTAGTTAGGATTAAATGATTCATGAAAAGTACCTAGGACAATATTTGGTACATTGAAAACATTCAATAAATGCTAGCTAGCAGTAGTAGAGACAGCAGCAGCAATGCTGCGTGCCCTCAAATCCCCATTTCCTTCCCGGGAGCAATAAAAAACAGAATCTATGAGGACTCTGCCCACACAGTTGCTATTTCAGAGTCCTGCCTTCCATGGAGTAGGGTAAGTTTAGCCAGTGAGCGAAAGATGCTGAACGAATGACTCTTAATTGTTTAATTTTGTTATCAAGTTGACACGACATTGGTCTTTGAGAAATAACTTTACAGTTTTGCATTTATTGCTTGCTGCAATAACGTGATTTCAAGTAAAGGCTACAGAAGAATCGTTTCACTGTGTTCTCCTCAGAAAATGAAATTGGCCATAGGACAGATAGGAAGCAGGTAAGTTGGTCTTCCTCTTTTCTCTGCAACCTGGGAAGAAAAAATAGTATCTTATTAGCAATAGTAGCAAAAGAATATGAAATGTTATAACTTGGGTGGTGGAAAGTCACGTATATAAAAAACAGTTAGTGGTAACTGTGTTTTACCACTTGTAGATTCACACATGCTCTCTGTGGGGGTCCAGGTCTCTTCAGACATTGTACATCATTGCTATATCTACCCAGCATTTTGTTCCTAATTTTGTTTTTGGATGAGTCTTACATAAACTGCAGGGGAGAGGGCATCCTTTATATGTCTTTTTGAAATCACAAACATATTGCTTTTCATTTAGAGAAACGCTGCAGCAAGACTCTTAGAACAGGTTTACTGAGGCCTGTCTGCCCATCCCAACCCCCTCCTCTCTCTCAACATTCAGAGATTCGATTGCTTCTCCTTTCTGGTCCAGACAGCCAAGCGCAATGGCAGAAAGGCAGAGCAGGGGGTGCCTTTTGGCTATTCAGAAAATTGCTTGAACAGTAAGAGAAGTGTTAGCACAGAGGCAGCAGTGCCACCCCCTAAGGAGTGAATGATACCCAGAGAAACGTTACCAGACCAACACTGGGGGCTATTAGGCACAAGGCGTGTGGGATAAACCAGAGATGGACATTGAAGCAGGAGGGCAAAAAGCCAGGGTGACCAAATGAGCTACAAAGACATTTGGCATTTGATTTAGATAGAAAGGATTACCTTTGATGGTTTTTACTTGATGTTTCTCAAGGAGCCCGGCTTTTGGCTGCCAATTTTGGACCCTGAGAGGGAAAAAAAGAAGTAAAAACACTCAGGAAGAAAAATTTAAGATATTATTATTTAAATTTAGAGAAGCATGTTGCCTTGGATTTTTTAAAGACACATTAAACCACTTCCATATTGTTCAGGAAGACGGCGCACACTCTTCCTTCAAGTGAACGAGGGAACAGACACCTCAAACTTTTGACGAACTGCCAGTGAGTTCATCCCTCCCTTTACGTGGCCTCAACGTACACACTCACTCAGATTCTGGGTATTGATTAATACCTTCTAATTAAATTAAGCCTATTTTTTAAAACTAATAATTTGTACCAAAAGAAAAATTCCCACAGACTGAGCTCTCACTTGGAGAAGTAGAGGGCTCTCAACCAGAACGAAAGCTGTGATTGTGTGTGCCTGTGCGTGTGCCTAAAGTACGTGAGTGTGCACAAGTTACGTGTGTGTACATGAATTGTGAGTGCGTCTGGAGTGGAGTGGGTGTTGCTAGAGAAGGAATAGTGAGAAAGGAAGTTGGAAAACAGTGAAGAAGTTCTTCCAAGGAGCCATCCAGGGAGGCTGACTTCGAAGGTACCTGAAGCTCCCGGAGCACCGCAGGTCGGTCACACACTCCAGCCACTGGAGTGAAAACAAGCAGGGAACATATCTCCTCTCTTTTCCCCTTGCTACCCTTGCCTCCCACTTTCCCACTTCACACACATGTATTCTCAACTGAGGGAGGCTGGGACAAGGCTCGGGAAGGTGACACAGCCACCCCCTGAAAGACTTCACTTCCTAATATCCTTCCTGCTCCCCTCCCTTTGGAACTGGTGTGATTTCCTTTGCAAGTCAGTTTGACTGTTTGTTTTATTAAGATAATGGGTGATTCAAAACAGAAGAGTCAGGACCAATGGTATAATTCAAGGATAATTATTACCATCTTCACTTACAGATGGTGAATGGCAGTTCAGTTTAAGTCATATGACCAAGACTGTTGGAATTAGAACCTGGGTTATCCTGACATCTTTTCTTACACTGTGTTGTCACCAAGAAGACAGTGCCCAAATCCTGACAGAGAGACATCTGCATACTAGTTGCGTAGCAATTGCCCTCAAATATAGGCCTCAGAGACATTGCAGGGAGGAAGCAGCATCCTGTGGGGAGTTCTGTTTTGTTTTCCTTGACCAGGAATACCAGTTGAATTTCAATGGAAAAGAAATACAACTACCTCTTCATTAAAGCAGGTTTCTGGCCCCTCGGCCTTGCAGCATGTCTCCACCACGTTAGAGAAATCTGTAAGCAGTGACTGGAGTTCCTCGTCTCTAAATTCAGGCTTCAGTTTCACTAAGTCGACAAGAAACCTGGGACCCAAAGACGTCAAATAGAATTAATTAACAATTTCTTTCTGAAGCTCCTCTTTCCCAAAATGCTTGTTACAGTCTCACCTGACTTGGGGGGGGGTGGGGGTCTCAATTTGGGTGAATGTAAAAAGTTAAAATAGTCCACATTTGAAAGGATCTCCTGAAACTTTCCTCTTAAACTTATGGGATGGATTCCATGGTATGGAGGGTTATATAATTACAGACAAAATGGCATAAAAAATGTGAACATATATTAGGTCTTTATTATGCACAGTATTATAGAATATATAACTACTTTTGATCTTTCTAGAAAATTTATGTCCAAAACAACCTCCATTCCTCCTTCCTCAGTAGCTGGGTACTGTTTCCACTTCACTTGATAAAGACAATGCCTAAATCCAAAAAATAGGTCTTACTCATCGGCATTTATAGCATTCCCTGAGAAAACAGAAATAAAATTCCTGTCTCTTTTGGACCTCTCCTTTTTTCAAACATTAAGTGAGATTCTCAGGGCAGACATCTATGACATTCTCTCAGGAAAATCCCATTCATTATGAACCTGCCTATGAGACATTTTGCTGGCTGCCCCAACTCACGTTTCCAAATCTCAGTCTACTGGACACTCCAAGTCTCTAGCAAAGGGAAAGAATGGCCAGGTTTGATTTATAAACGATGGGAATAGATATGCTCCTGTGTTTTTCTGAACTAGTGAAACTGGACAATTTGATGGGAAGAACAGTAACACCAAATTCCATTGTAACACCAAAATCCATTACAATAAACCTTCTCACTACTACATGGTGTGTCTTCAGGCTGAAGAAAAGATGAATGGAAGAGGATGTACCTGTCTTTCTTTCTCTGGAGCTCTTCTTTATGAGCCTGACACAAGTCTGTGTGAAAGGTAAATAAACCTTGAGAGGTAGATGGAGGCACATATGTTTTATCAGCTTCCAAGCCCTCAAAGCAGGGCCTTCTGAAGGCAAAGTCTGTTTTACAACAGTGGTCCACAGCAGGGTTGATGCTCCGATTTTCATTTATTCCACATAACTCTCCAAGAACTAAATCCACCTGTACCAATGAAAGTTGGAATGGAGTTTTGAAATATGGTTGGATGAATAGTTAGATTGTTCTAAGATCACTGTTAACTTTACTCAGAAAAACCCATGCACTCATAACACAACACTATGTATAAAGAAAAGTAGAGGCTGGGGTCCTAAATAGCATTATAACAGAAATTCAAGCCATAGCGATTTAGATGCCTATAGATGAATTTCTTGTTAACATATATACAAATTTGTAATTGTGAGCACAGAACAACAAACAGCCAACTGAAAGTAGCAGCCAAACACTGTGGCCCTTAGATTTATTCCCCTCCTAGGATGTCCCCCATGGTAATCTCCACCTCATCCCTAAAGAGATACACCCAACTCAATATTGGGCTGGACACAGCTGTTCTCTTACTGGCCTAGTGGAGCAAGAGGGAGAATTTGTAACATTTCTTAAAATTACAGAGTTTCCTGTATCATTCTGAAACAATATTGTGATTCCTAAGTCATTTGCCCTAACAAATTATTTCTCCTATAAATAAGAAGAAGTAAGAAAGATGATTCAGAAAACCCCAAGGAAACATTTAAGACGTTCTCCTTTGCTCCTTAGGATTTTGACATAGTGAGCCAAAAACAAAACTTGACATTCCTTGCTTAACGATGTTAAAAACAATGAGGAGAGGAAGATGGATAATCACTATAAATTAATGAGTACAGATGTCCTTTCTCGTTTTAGGAATAGTCAGGTACGTGGGCCACGCTCACCAAGTTATCAACGCAGGCGAACTCCTCGCTCAGTGTGCAGCAGGTGGTCAACGCCGCCGCCTTCTCCTGGCCGAGAAAGGTCAGTTCTTCAGTGGAGAGCTGGGGGGCTATCCTTGTGAGTTTGATAAGGTAGCTGAAAGAACATTTGTCTGTTTGGTTCTGAACAAAAGCATATACCCCTTTTCTGTTGTCTAGCTACTACTTGAAACCCTGACCCTTCAAGGCTACAGACGACCAATGTAAGAGCAACATGAACCTCAGCTGTCTCATAAAGCAGTAGAGAAATGTCTCTTCACTCCCTATTTTCCTGCACCCTGCCTCCTAGATCTCTGTATTTTGGCTTCCTTCTGATTTCATGGTAATCTCAAAAACTCTGAGATTTGCCTGTCCTGTCTTACCTGTGAGTAAAGGAGCTTCTTGGCAGGAAAGACATGGGCTAGTATGTAAAATCCTGCTTGAAATCCCTTGCATAGTTAATAAATATTCTCAAGGGAGAATTTAATAGATATATGTTGGAAAAGGATAGTCTGAGGTGAAGGAAACTAAGATCTTTAATGGGCTGAGTTTGACTTCTCAGCTAAGAGCAAGATTGCAGAAATAGTGAAATCATATTGTTTGAACTGTGTTTTGTTTTGATTAGAAGATGTTTGGTTTCAATACACACTAAATTATCATAGTAATTAATTAAGAAAATCCAGAATAAACCTTGTATTATTCATTCAAGTTCACAAGAGCACTAAAAAATAAATATGACAGTGTTAAGCAAATCCAGAATTACTTCCATAAACTTGGTAAGATGGGTCAAAACCTTGGGCAAATCACCTTTTCCTTGGGAAATTGTTACAACCTGAAGTTTGCTCCATCCCTCCCCATGCCCCCCCGAAATGGGGTAGAATCCAGACTTTCTGGGTTGGGAGTGAGAAAGACAAGTCCAAACAAAAACTAAAGTATTAGCGAAACAATTTGTCCCAAATCCTGTATTTCTTTAATTTCTAGCCTCATTCCTGGTAAAGGCTCAATATGACAGCTCAATGTGCATTCTTGACTTTTGTGTTTTTATTCTTTCCCAGAGTTTATGAATTCACCATAACTGAAAGACTGAGCTAACTTTTTGACACTTCGTGGCACTATTTTATCCTGGTCATAAGTGTTAACCTACTTGTGCAAACCACTTACTGGTATTTCAAGCCATCCTTCCCCAAATTCTGCAAATGTTCACATTCTCGTTGTACTATCTTGAGGCTTCTCTGAGTTGTCTCATTGAATTTGTATTCCTGAAAATAAAAACAATCATGTTTATGAGCACCTTATCTAAAATTTAATCATAAGCTTCATGTCAACTTGTCAAATAGCTTTTTAAAATGTATATAGTATTTTCAAACTATCATCACCATACATTACTCACTAAATTGAGGGTAGTTTTTTATATATTCGTGTAAGAATTTGAATCTTTTCAATTATAGTTATAGATATAGATACTTTTTTACTAAAATTTGTAAGTCCAAATTTTTCATCATTATCATCTTGTGCATTTTTTTAGATGTTTCCAGTTTACAAAGTATAATTAAAATCTTATGTTGGGCTGGCCC